CTCCGAGCCATCTCCTTTGGTGCTTGTCTTAGACTATCCAGCACCATCAGATTAGAAGGCTTTCGCATCTCTTAAAACAAGAAACTCCCAAAAACAGATTATCTCTTTTCTTGGCCGGCAGCACGGATAGGGTGATCGTGACAACATCTTCCCATGTCCTCCTAATAGAGTCTCGTCTATTCCCCTTCGTGTCAATCGTGGCACCGAAACCCTATCGAACCCGAACCGGCCGCTCCAGAACTAGTTGCCGTGAGATACTCGGCAGTCTAGATAAAAAAAAGATAGCTCATGGTAATAGTGGGCTTCTTACTGGAGATCATCACTCGTTTTTCCCTGGTCGCAGGCGCCCTTCCGATTTCCCGACTTTACCATCGTTAACATCCCGTTACGCTTCTCGTCATCTCTCGACCGAAATTTCTACGTGATTAAGCGTACAGTTTGCGAGACGTCGATATTTTCAAGGTGTGCATTTTTCTACTTGGTGTTGATTGTCCCCTTTGGCCAACTCGGGCCTGGTAAAGTAGGAATTTGGCTATCATGATTTGTGGCTGTTTAGTATATCATTATTACGAGTTTATCTTACCTGCTAACATGAATACCACAGGGTCATCCTTTTACATGGTTCACGGGTAGCCTCTTCCCATCGAAGCCCCATCTAAGTTATAAAAAAACAAGTTAACCAGGCGAATCGAATCGAATTACTTCGCTCGTTAGCCCGTCCAGCCGACTGTTTGGGCCTTCAGTCTTTGAATATGGCTGCTCTGGTCCAAACTTACCCTCAGCAAAGTGGAACAGTAACGTTGCTTCAGACCAGACCCGGCACGACTTCAGGAATAATGCCGCCCCCTTCGGGAAACCAGCCTAATCAGGCATACATAAGCAACCAGCAGAGGAACAACTATCATACCTTGTCTGGCAGTGTTGGAGGAGGGTCGAATACCTATCGTGGCAACGCACCAGCCCCTGTTCAACCATATGCATTTACAGCGACGCCCAGTCTGGCTAATGGCGGACAATGGCAACAATACGGAGCTTATCGTTCGTCATCGAATGTGCCCAATACGCAGATGGTAGATCCGAACGCCGCAGCTCGCTCTCGTTATCCCGGAAACTCGAACTCGTCGGGCAGCAGTAGCTCTGGCCAAGCTGCAATGTCTGGCGGACATCCTCACGATGACTCGCGGACTATGTCTACTCCTGGACCCCGACCTCAATTGCCCGCGTTGAATCTTTCAGCTAGCCAGCCGACATTCGCCCAAGTCGCTGCTGCGAAACCTTCGCCGGAACGATATAGGCGGCCATCTCCAAGGTATACAGACTCGTCACCTAGCGTTCCGCAGGTGCAACAACCACACGGTTCGGCAATGCCATCGGGCTCTGGCATGGCTACCGTGGTCCATCTTTATAATCCCCGAGCCATGCCAGATCGGAAAGCAGGAACGACCAGAAATCCCGTTTCCCTTTCGAATAGGCCGCATAGTGCCTACGGTACCGGGGTAGCGATGGACGACATGCAGCTATACCGACATCCCACCGAAGAAGAAGCTAGAAGATATCGGCGGCGTAGCATACACTCAATCAATTCTTCCGATTACCCCACCCCCCTGACCCCGCAGGAATTCAAGAAGCAAGCGGAGGAGACATTCCGCCTAGAAGCACTAGCCGCCTCGAGGAAACAAGGTGCTTTAGATAAGGACCAGAGAAATGCTGCACGGAGCGGTTCTGCTATAGATAAAAATACCGTGCGGACTAGCAACGGCAGTTCTGAAAGTCTCGTTTCGAGTGGGAGCAGCAGTTCTAGGCCATCTTCGGTGAGTTTTGCACCATAGGGAGCGAAAAAAAAGTTCCCAGGGATCACCCAATCAGTAAACGCCCAGGGGGGAAATTGCCACAGTGAGATGCTAACTGAAAGTGCTGTTATATAGTCTGCCAATCGAAGCTCTAATGCGTCTGCCCCCACGGCCAGCCCCGCCTCCTCCACCTCTACAGAAAGGAAGTCTGGACAGGATCAATCAAAGCAGGTGAACATACCGCCTCGCGGTTCATCATCAACTGATGTCGGCAAACGAATTACCAATCCATCTCCGTTATCGAAGCCGGTAACCATGGCTCCCGGGTCCTCTCCTGATGACTCGGCAGCGCCTGCCCGTGCACCGGAGCCGGCTTCAACTAAGCCTTCGACGCCTTCTCCTAGCTTGATGACGGATAGTCCCGCAGCTAAGCATCTCGCTGCAATCAACGAGAAAGGCGGGAAATCGAAGACCAAGACGTCGCGATTAAGGCGAGCCTTCTCTTTTGGGAGCGCTGCCGAACTCCGGAAAGTTACCGGTCAGGATATCACTTCTGAAGCGGGAAAGACATCGCAAAATGAGCCGTCGAAGTTGCACAAGGATGCCCAGCCCATGGACCTCTACGAGGCGGAACAAGCACGGATTGCACAAAAACAGGAGGAGAGCGGTATCGGTAGTAGCATCTACGCCGGTACCAGACTATTCGCGGGATCAACCGATAACCTTTCGATTTCCTCGACAGCATCTTCTGCGTCGATTATGCTCCGCAAGATGGGACGGGGGATGAAGAAAAGTGGTAGATCATTGGTTGGATTATTTAGGCCCAAATCGATTATCGGGGCACCCGGCGAGGACATGACAATACCCGAGGGTTCTCAAGCGGCTGTGTCGATGGTCACGGTTGAAGCCGAGCGCGAGCGAGTCAATGCCAATTCCACCGCTTCGCAACAGGCCCCTACCTTGCCTCCTTTGGAGACTGGCAACGCGGAGATCTCTGTAGATGGTCATCCTTCTGACTATCTAGGGAACTCGAACCTGGACAACTCGGCCTCGAGGAAAAGCATCATCGGTGGCGAGAGGGAGCGAGCCGAAGTCCTCGCTACTATCCGGAAGGGTATTCTGAAGAGTAGGTCCAATGCCAAGATTGTTAACTGCTTTATCTAACACGGTTGTAGCTCGTAGCAATTCACCTAGTCCTTCCGCTGGAGGCCCCGGCTTTGATCTCCCGGCAATTCCCAACGTCTCTAACTCTCCTAGCTCTACCACTCCTAGTACTCCAAACGACGACCAAGGCCAAGCCCATAAACGAAACGAAACCCTTACCATTGGTAGCGAGGATTATTTTGTATCAGCGTTACGCCTTCGCCAAGACACGAAGAGTGCGCCCACGACGCCTCAAGGATCATCTGGCAAACGAAATGCGACCTTTAGCCCGCGGATCGTGTTCTACGACACGTGGCCGAGCGGAGAGTACGACCGCCGTGGTGATATTGCGACCTGCAATCGTCTAACGCCCATGCTCGCTCAACAGATCAAGGAGGAGCTGAACACCTTCAAGATGGTAAGCAAGAACGGAAATGTTCCGCGATTTTGCTTTTGGGAGCTTCGCTTACATGTAACTACAGGAAATGGAGGTTCATGAGACGTCCAAGGTCTATACGCACTTTTTCTAACGACGATGAGCGCTACACCACGATATTCCAGCAAAAATGGGTTCCCTTCTCGATTAAAGGCCTATAGACCTGCGATCATGTATTTGTCACTCGAGTCTACGGCGTTTGTACATGGTTAGCATAGTAAGGTGTCGCGGCGTTTTTTCGAATTTACATTATGGAGCTATTTTCTGAGCACAAAAGAACCTGTTCGTTGCTATAATATCCACACAGTACTGGTAACGGCGGGGACCCGATGGCTCTATTGAGGACATCACTTTCGTCGGAACATATTTGCATCAGGCACTTGCCCCCCGGCCCTGACGTATTCAGGGGTAAAAGAAGCTATGGCTTGGATTTGAGTTGGTAGGAGTGCATTCGGTGTGGCAGGCGTATGACAGGAGGCGGTCAGACATCTGGAGGGTGACATCCCCAATAGGTAGAGATATGCTGACCCGAAAACACCCCGCGTCCTTCGGAGCGGAGGAGGAATACTACAGCACTGGGACTAGCATGTGAAGGCAAGGCAGATCCCTTCAGTGGATCATGGAAAACGGTGGCAACCTATCTATCATCTCTCTTGCCTATCTGAACTGAAGCTATAATTATCCCCGACGACACAGCTAAGCAAGATCGAATTTTTGGAAGCAATCATAGATTTATGTATCTATGTTGTATTCTGCCATCCTAATTTTTTAGCCGGAGGACATGAGGGAGTTATCAGTTGAAGTTTGAACGAGAGAATAACAGTCTATTTTGTCTTATCGTTCACGACTTTGAGGTGTTATGATGATGTTTGCTCTAGTGGATGGAAGTAATGTACTATTAAGGAAAGATCCGATGGCTACCTACGTATTTGAACCGGGACAAGAGTGAATATCAGTATCCAGCATTTTCCAAGTTCTTTCGGCGCTATGCATACGTATGGGCATACTATGCCTTGGTTTCTCCTCTTGGCCAATATTCTCGCACGTAAACTGGCACCAGTACGATGCATAGATGCTTGTTTTCCACTTGTTTTCCAGGGTCTTCCTCTCTTAGCAACGGTCTAGCCTAACCGGAGAGCGTTAGGAGGGTGGCCAAGAGGTTGCAACGGCCAAGCGCGATCTCCCCAAGAGTACTATGTAGAGGTACTCGGTCGATTAATACGAGATGTAGAGGGTACAAATGAGGCGCAGCGCTTTGGTTCCATTTTCCTGTGCCAAGATTATTTTTCTTATGCGAACTCCTGGCCTCGGGGTCTTGAGGGGTCTTATGCAAGGCTGAGATGATATCTAAGATTTGTTGTATTTTGTGGGAGCTATGTAGGTTGTTGAGGTTTGTTTATTTTTATTTTCTTTATTTGGTTATATTAGTATGAGTCTTTAGGTTTGGCAATAGGCCTTAGTAAGGATTATAGTATACTTATAGATGCATGTATTCCGTACATATAATGCCAACTATACATGTATTCTTATAGCATGATACTTGGCATTGGTAGTTGCGAGGAAAGCGCAATCCGGACATTACCTAATATATACTTCGTAGCGTATTTCGGAGCTAGATAAGCCCCGCCAAAATTATCGTAGATTTTCTTAGCTAAACCAATCATTTCCTATTTCCTATGCGAACTTCATCTTGTGATACTCTTCAACCGCAAGTTAGTAACGCCCGCAGTCGTCATCCTGGAGATTGTTACGAAATTGCGTACGCGCTGGAATATTACCGGCCTTGGCTGGAAAATAATAGCCAGAAAGCACGTCGCAATGGCTTCAACCGCGGCCAATGGGGCAACGACCGCGGCTAAGACCAAGTTACATGGGCGGGTGTTCTATGAAAGCATAGGTAGCCCAAAGTTTGTGCTTGCGCCTATGGTCGGCCAGTCGGAGTTCGTATGTCTCCTATATCGTCATCCTATAATGAGAACGTCGAATACTAACAGCCGTTAATCTTAGGCCTGGCGCATGCTTACTCGGTCGTTTCTCACTCCAGACGAGAACTCGAAACTCTTAGCTTATACGCCTATGTTCCATGCTCGATTATTTAAAGAAACAGCCAAATATAGAGAATCGCACTTCGAAGCGACCCGACCCTCTCCGTCTACTCCTGCTTCGACAACGCCGAATTCTACGCCTGCATCTACGAACACCGAACAATTACCCCCATTCCTGGATGGTAACCCGGCATTCGATCGTCCTCTATTCGTGCAGTTCTGCGCCAATGATCCCGAACACTTACTGGGTGCAGCAACCCTTGCTGCGCCTTATTGCGACGCCGTCGACTTGAACCTCGGCTGTCCCCAGGGTATAGCGCGCAAAGGTCACTATGGCGCATTCTTGCAAGAGGACCAGGAACTTATCTACAAGCTGATCAATACCCTTCATAAGAACCTCCCCGTACCTATTACAGCAAAGATCCGTATATTGGAGACCAAGGAGGACACTCTAGCTTATGCTAAGAACGTGTTGGCTGCGGGCGCAAGTATCATTACCGTCCACGGACGAAGACGAGAGCAAAAGGGTCATATAACCGGTGTCGCAGACTGGGAATACCTGCGCTATCTAAGAGAGAACCTACCCAAGGAAACGGTCATTTTCGCCAATGGCAATATTCTCCAGCACGGAGATCTGGAAAGATGTCTCGAGGTAACGGGCGCAGACGCCGTCATGAGCGCGGAGGGAAATCTAAGCGATCCGGCCATCTTTGCGCAACCGCCACCTCCTGGACAAGAGGGACGAGAGTATTGGCGAGGTATAGACGGCAAGGGTGGCTATCGAATAGACGCCGTATTTAGACGTTATATGGACATCATACACAAATACGTCCTACAACGGGATCCGCCAGCGCGAAGGCCCTTATTCATTATTGGGGATGACGAGAGTTGGCTTGCTGAAGGAAAAGACAAGGATGCAGAGCAAGAGGAGGGCCCGGCGCGCAAAAAAAGGAAGAAGGATGGCGGCAGCAGGAACGAGAAATGCACCTCGCCGAATCTCCTTGCGGTCCGACCTCACTTATTCCATCTCCTAAGACACTTCATATCGAAACACATAGATATCCGTGACGCTCTAGCAAAGTGCCACGCCGGCGACGTTCCAGCTGTCGAGAATATCCTCGATATGGTAGAGCGGCGTGTAGCCGAAGGCCTTATCGAATACGAGAGGACTGGAGGTAAAAGCATAGAAGAACCAGAAGCACAACCCAAAGCGGTAGAAAATAAGGAGTCAGCAGAATCGACAAAGACAGAAGATACCGAAGACACGGATTTCGATCCGGAAAGCTCGGTAGCAACCGTCAAGAAATGCAAGCGGCCGTGGTGGATCGCACAACCCATAGTGCGACCGCTTCCGAAGGAGGCCCTGGCGAACGGGAGCATAAGTCTTAGTAAGAAGGAGAAGAAGAAACAGGAATTAGAGACCCAAGCCGGGGCCCAAGGGGATATAAACGTGGGCGATGCGGAATTACCGAAGCCGGACGGCATAGCGAGGATTAAGGAGCCCCCTATGGATGCGAAGAAGCCGGCGCTTACGGCTGATGAGCTAGTTTGTGGGTAGAGGTTAGAGATTGGGAATATAAAGGTTACTATAGATCATGGCATAACATAAAGCGTGTGTTGGATAAGGCTATATCCAAGGTTAGATTCTATAGAAATTTACAAGTCTAGCAAATGCAAGGGGTGGCACTGCCACAAAACGAAACCATCGGATACCTTCAGTAGCGGTGAGCGAATATTGTCTGCTTTGAGGTTCGTGAGTTATTACACTAACCGTATATAACCTGTTCATGCTAATTACTGGATCATACAGACGTCTATCTATTACAACTCCCACATATTTTGACGGTTCACTTTGCTAGGTTATGTAACCGGACATGTCTACCGCAAATCTGGAATACTCAGTAGACGCTGAAATCACCACCTTTTTCACCAAGACCTCCGCCACCCGAGCCCAATGTGATTCCCGAGCGGCGGAACTCGCGGGGGACGGTACCGTCGTTCCGGTCAAGGTCCAGGGCGTCTGTAGTTACTCCGTGTATGCCGGGCGGGACCAGGAGTACGTCGTACAGTTCCGGCTCCGGTCTCTGGAGCTTAAGATGGAGACTGCGGTGTTGGCGCGGGAGGTTTATGGGGAGTTGACGCCGACGGTTTCGTTTGAAGGGCAGATGGGGGCGGATGGGGATGGGAATGGGAAGGAAGGGCTTTGTGTGTACTTGATGAGTCGGGTCCGGGGGGTTACGCATTTGGATTTTATCCTGGCGTATGATGGACCTGATAATTCGCAGGAGTGGTTTGGTTGGCGGAGGAATTTGATGGTGGGTGTTGCGCGGTAGGTTGGCTTTCTGTTTGCGTTGCACCTTTCGCGACTAGGTTAGATGTATCTAACCTGCTTAGGTTCTTCGCTCTCTCGTGGAACGCCCCTCAGCAGGTCAGTCCAGAGGATCGCGAGAAGCTTCGCGGGACATACGTCAGTGAGTTACGGCTGCTATACTCTGCACTTCCGGATCGCTTCCGCCCTATTATCCAGAACTGCATCGATTCGATAGATACCATTCTATCCCTGCCTATGGTGCTCTTACACCGCGACTTCGGCACGTGCAATATTATAGTCGACGAGACATCGTGTCATCTCGTCGGCGTCGTCGATTGGGCTGAAGCTGAGATATGTCCCTTCGGACTAAATCTTCATTCTCTCGAGGCTTTAACGGGGAAACTTCGTCTTCGAGACGGCTGGAGCCGATACGAGGATCATGCCACTTTACAGGATGTGTTCTGGAGCACGTTCGTGCAGCAAGTTGGAGGAGTGGACGAAGATACCGTCCAAACTATCAAACTTGCACGGATCACGGGCCTGTTGCTTTCTGCCGGCTTCACTAGCCGTCTTGCGAACGGGCCTGCTCTAGTGCCTATATGTGATGATGAAATTGGACGGTATAAGATGTTATCCCTAGATGGGTTTCTTATTAATCTAGAGACGAGGTTTAAGATCGATCTACTGTAACTACCTATACCTAGCTAATCTATATGATAATAGACCATGTTTATGTCACCCGAGGACTAGGAATTAGAGGATTTGTCCTTCCAGCTTCTTCCATACCGGTTGTATCTTTCCAGTATTGCGATGGTAGATTTGATATCACGTATTGTGCTGATACTGAATGTTTTTTCCTTCAATAGTTTTGCAGCAGTTAACGGCGTCAAGCCGTCATCGGCGTTTGAGTTGACGTCCACCTCCCCCGTCTCAAGTAGCATTGAGACAACTTCAGGATACCGCAATGCCCGTCGCAATGGGGTTAATCCCTGGTTGTCTTTCGCGTCTCTGTCAACTCCTGGCCGGGCGAGTAGCTTTTCAGTCATACCTGACGTGCCCAATCCAACTGCGTAAGATAAGGGCGTACGACCTAAATTGTCCCTAGAGTTAGGATCTGCCTCTTTATTCAAGAGCATTTCCACCAGCTCTAATTTGTTGGAACTAACTGCGTGCGAAAGCGCTGTTCTCCCTTCCACATCCGGGAGGTCAAAATTGAGCCAACTATCATCTTCGAGAAATATACGACAAATGTCGATAAAAAGTTCTGCTTTGTGCGTTCCCAAAACTCTATAATAAAGCACTTTGCAGCAATGTGTTAACGCACTCAGGCCCCGGTTATCCACAATGTTCTTATTAATATCTTGATGCGACCAGAGCCATCGAACTACATTAGCAGACACCCATATGCTAGCATACATCAGAGGCGTCTGTCCTCTCTCGTTCGGTTGATTGATATCTTCCCCTAGTAGAACTAGGGCCCTCATGGCCACCACACAGTCCAGCTCTGCTAAGCAGGTGAATAAGCTCTGCTCCGAATGATCACTCACTCCATAATACAAATAATTACGCTCTAGCTGTGAAAAGAACTTTTATTCTTGCTGATTTATTTGAATATCGAGGCCTTGGTCTAAGAAAACCTGGAAGCCAAGATCTCGGGCAACTTGGCGGCAACCGCATGCTAATGCAGCGATTAAAGGTGTACCATAGATACCTCCCCTAATACGGATGTGCCGTAATCTATCAGGGGATTGCTTGACGAGGTGGAAAGTCCTGCCACGCAAGAACATATAGCATGTTTACATCGGGCCGATGGATCGTAGCACCGTCCGGCCAAATATTGTAAAGGTTGATCCATTTAGGTAGCGGAAATTGCTCGATCCAATCCGACTGCTGTACTCCATAAGACTGCGCTTCGTTGGAGTGGAAAAGGACATTGGAGACGGCATACTGAAGAAATGGGTAAGCTTTTGTTACCTTACTTCTTGTTACTCTCTGATTTTTGTAGTCCCTGGTAAAGTTATTGACCATTACATCAACATCTGGTATTCTGGTCGTCATCTCGCTAAAACAAACCTCTTTTAAAGCATCTTGACTTATGCCTATAAAGTTGTTGCTTAGATGAGGCCAATATTGTGGGACTACACTTTGCAGCCTATGGCCGTCAACTAGAAAAAACTCCCTAACAGATTCGTGGATGAATTGCATAGAAGATATAGAATTAAGGTATACTTCCACTACTAAACCTTTTGAAGAGCTAAGAATATACCGGCGCATCGTATAATATCCCGGGAGAGAACTATGCGGGGCCGGGTCATTGAGACCAGTTCTGATACCGCAGTAGAGTTCCTGTAAGCTCAACGGATGTTTTGCAAGAAGTACGAGCTGGATACAGAGTAACATGGAATCGCAGTCTTCTGAATCCCGCATTAGCATATCGTGGAATAGGAGGCTGAGCTCGGTTGGTAGTTCACGAAGTCGCTTATTCAAAGCATCTGTCTTTCCCGAATCGAAGGCTTTGTTTAACATTGGAATTACCAGAGCTACCCAAAGGAATACACCAGAAGCCTTTTTGAGAATCTGAGACTTGATATCTTCGCTGGATTGTGATGAATCGATGGCAAGAGTAGAGTCGATATAACGCTGGATATCGATCATATGACCATCTTGACCATCAATCAGTAGGACCAGCGCTTCTCTAATTGATATCAGTAAAGCCGAAGACACTCTTGGTGTCTGGGAAGGTCTTCATGATCTGCCATATAAGGGCTTGATATAGCCCTTTTACTGTCCGTTCGAGTTCATGACCTCTCGCATTGAAGAAGAATGAAATTATCTTGAAATCAGGCACCTTAATCGCCGACTTTTCAAAGAGATATTTCATAAGTATAGATTTCCCCACGCCTGGCTTTCCTTTGATCCAGAGTAATCCATGGTGGCGGCTGATTTCATCTGAGTTAATCCAAGCCTTGTATTCATAAGTATCCAGAACCCAACTACAAGTATCTGGGCTGGGCAATCGAAGGTTTTGTCGACGGGCATGAATCTGGTCGAACCGCAACAACTCGCAAAGGCGGCCGGGAGGTTCGCTGATCGGCTCATTTAGGTGAGCAGAGTTTTGTCCGCTTGTGGATTGAGAAAACGTATGGCCATTGTGAACACGGCTGTTCCCAGAAATGAACTGGATATAGGATGAAGGCTCCGCTTGCCCGGACATCAAGCTAGATGGAGTTTATAGCGATGTTTGGCTCTGTATGTGAATGCGAATTCTTTTGGAACCGGAAATGGCTAGAAGAGAGGCAGGCTAACGGGCGGGAAAGATGTTAGATTTGCTCACGCTCTTTGCTCATTAGTAGGGTGTATGGCTGAAATGCTTCATTGGATGCTGCATGGCCGCGACCTATGCCGTGGAATGACACGTAAGTAACAGGGCTTAGCGATCAAGGCAATAAGGTAAGGCAGACAGATGCCCAAAAGTTTTTGTATAAACTATCTATATTAAGCGCTCAAAAGCCTTGGGTTCCTCGTCTCTTACTTAACCTGGATACGTTATAAAGCAAGTTTCAAAATGGCTGAAGTCCTTGGTATCGTAGCAGGCGCCGTAGGCCTCGCTTCAGCCCTAGGCGCACGTATCGATGGAATTGGCTGCATCCAAGCCGGACGCCATCTTGGATCTGATTTTCAGAACTTTCAACTACGGTTGAGAATGCTCGAGCTGCGGCTCTCACGCTGGGGAGAAGCGTTAGGAGTCGATAGGGACCCATAATTGAGCAACCCATTAACAACCAACGACCGAATCAGGACTGCAAAAGATGCGCTTATTCGAATCCTCGAACTTCTCGAGGAATCAAATAAGTTGTCTCAAAAGTTCCGACCATCATGTGACCAGGCCGGAGATCGCTCGGAACGGGATGAGGGAAGAGAGAAGAATGAACATTCTTTAAGCAGAAAAATGCGGGAGATATTTGCGCGGCGCAGACGAAATAGAGCTAACCCGATCAACATTACGCGCTGGGTGCTGTACAGCAGAGAACATGCGATGCAACTTATTAGCGATATCACATCGTTGATCGATTTGCTGCAGCAAATCTATCCAATGGCTAGAGAAGAAGTCAGACAGCTTACTTCAGCCATTGCCGATCAAGGGTCCACGATGCGGCACTTGCAACAACTTGTGCAAGGCATCGATGATGACATGAAAAAGGCGATTGAGTCTGTCCAAAGGCAGGGCCACCAGTACGGAGACGTATCCATGGAAGAGAATGCGCGTATTCAGAATGGGCATACCTTCACTCGGGCTTGGGAGGGGACGTCTTCTCTACCGGTAGGACCGAGCATGGCTTTTTACTCATATGAGAGCATCGGGTTCCTCAAGGGCTCGTAACGGAGATGTATATGTAGAGAAAGACGACTTTTGGTCGTAGGTCTGGACGACACCACGACCAATGCCTTTTGCTATCGCCGTGGAAGAGTAATGAGGAGATTGAAAGTTCGACGAATAGGGTGACGATATATTTTGGAAGAATGCAGATGTCTTGTTCGATCGCCGATCTTAAATATACCTTACAGTAGGACTCGCACCTTCTTCGTATGAATTGCAGGTGCCTTCTCTTTGGGGGAAACTTTATTTAAATAAGGTTACATGTATAACACCTCTAAAGCTGTTGTGTCAGGCCAATTTACTGAAGAAGTTGCTGAAGAAGTGAAGAATGGCAGGTGTGGATGTGATAAGCTTGCAGGAAGAAAGGCAGATCTAGAAGGAACCCCACCTGTTAAACTCCCCTCCGTTAGCCCTAACCCCGCAATCCTGCGGCAGTGGTACCCGCACTATTTCCACGGCCGAAATCCGTCGATCGGGCGGCCGCATCTTAGCTTAAAAGAGTCCTGGTGGTTGGCGAGAAATGCTCGAATCGAAAGATACGGGCGTCCGATGCACGGAATTAGTCACAAACTTGGTAATCAGCGTTTGCATTTAGAAAATATGTGCATATGTACGGTGATAGCCCCCCAGCAGATCTTGATAAGCGGGATTTATCGAACCGGGGCGGACCCGTCTACCCGTCTTACACCCCCGAAGGAATGCACTTCTCTACCTTTAGGGGAAAGCTCTCTGCCCCTTAGGGGAAAGCACCTGATGAGCGGCATTAAACGGACCGGAACGGCCCCGTCTTCCCGTTCTTACACCCCCGTGGACGGATCTTATTTATAAAGAGCTTACATGTACATATATTATCGCTCGCAATGTCCTGTGGTCTTGGAGAATATCGCAAATTTTGAAAAACTTAACGAGAATCTAAGGTGTTCTTCCCATTCTTAGGCTTGTAGTTTGAGAGTTTGTAGTTGTGAATACAGCCCTACTACGTAATCCCTCATGGTAAGAATTCCCGCCTAGGTTTTTATATAACTAGTACATTCGTAACTGGGCTAACTCGTTGATAAAGGCGTCCCAAGGGAGGCTTGCGCTTTCCGCGCTTTTCTTGGGGATGGGACTTTTCGGAGTCATGGCTACCGACGGACAGCTTTTCGCAGGTCCGTTAGGTAAGCTGTTAAGAGCCATCGCCGGCGGGAGTGAAGAAGCTGTGGTCTTGATAGGTGGCCCGGTACCCTTCAAGTACAAGTACACCGGCATCTGGTTCGTGGACGCGATAATCTCGCATTGGACGGCCTTCGTGGCGGCGCTGATCGACGATCCTGAGCTCCGCTGGAATACCTGGGCGCTCTACATCGAGTCCATGGGCCAGTTCTGCGTCGGATGGGGTCTTCTCTTGCTCGAGTGTAGGCGAGCAGGAAACCGCGGTCTCGCCGTTAGTTGGGCTGGAACCCTCGGCGTGGTCTTCCAGGCGATCTCGTGGGCGTTTTCTTTACCGCTATACTTCGGGTTGCATCTTCTTACGTCGCCCATCTCGAAGTTGGAAAGCAAGGGTGGCAGAATTACGGGCGAATCTGCGAAGCTCCTATTCGTGGACCTCTGGGACCTAGCACTTATGCCCATCTCCCTGACCTTAGGAACCCTTATTCCTACTCTCTTCATGAGCTTGCCTTCGCTCTTCTCTTCCATCGGCCATTATAGCTGGATTGCGTTCTGGATTCCTTTCGGGCCGGTAAGTAGATAGAGATTGTCCTGCACCTTTCTAAATACTAATCATATTTCCTTTAGTGGACGGTGATTGCAATGGACCTATTCAAGAGCGTGGCCAACTCCACAGTTGGCACTCTCAGCCCGAAGGACAGCAATGGCAAGCCTACTACACCCGGCAAGGGCTTTTATGTGGCTGTGTCGACAGTATACCAATTCAACATGGCGGTTTCCGTGCTAACACACTTGCCATTCATGGCTACATCTGTGCTACCCGGTCCCTTACGTTCCGCTCTCATTTACGCATTCCCCGGCTTTACTTCCTTTTTCACGGACATCACTTTCACGAAGACGTGGCTACCCCACCCCTTCCTCGGACAGCCGGCCATAGACCCGCTCGCCAACGGACCTGGTAGGTTTGGTCCCTTGGTCGCCGATTTCTACCTGTTCGATCTGTACCTAGGAAACGGAGCGATGCTTATATGGGCCTTGTACTTGTATCTTCAACAAACCGGATCCTCTCCGGCGAAGGCCATACAGACGGCCGCAAAGTGGTCTTTCCTTGGTGGATTCGTAGCTGGTGCATTTGCACTGCTCTGGGAGCGTGACGAGCTTGTCCAGGAAAGCGAGAACGACGCGAAGAGGAAATGAAGAGTTAGGATGGAGAATCTCGATGCGAGTTAAAAGGGGATGGGGAGTTCCATCTCAATATTAGTTGGTCTCCACTCCGTTTAACTCGATCGCTGGAGACGTGCTGTCTTCAATGACTATAAAAGGAGAGTTGATTATGTGGGTTGCTTGTTGGGCTGGGTTGGATTATGTCCTTATAAAGCTTATGGACATGAAATAGTTGCCCAAAGTCGTCTGTATAGAAGACGGCGGTATTCTGAAATTCTACACGGCAGCAATTGGCATGCCAGTCATTAAGGATTCACTAAGCGAGCGATGAAAGCACTTAGAGCATAGATTAGGTAGTGTAAATGACAAGTGATATGGCATATTAAATACTATATTTCTTCACTTCTAGGGCCTCTGGGCGCACTAGATATATTGGCGTAACTTCTTGGAACACTCATCATAAACTAGTGAATTGCCTTTAATCACTTTCTAACTCCTTTAGATGACCCTTACTCGCAAGATATGCAGCGCCAGAGTCGGCCCAGACCTGATAGCTAAGAACTTTGTACTGACCATCGAATTTAAGCGCATATGCGAAGACTTCATCCCAGCTCTCGCCCGTAGCCGTCCACGTGAACTTGGCGGTGCCGCGGACTGCGACGCGATTCTCAACAGCATCGACAATGTAGTCCGCGAAGCACATATCCTCGTAGCTTAGACACGAGGAAATGGTGCTGAAGTATTCCTGTACCCCGTCGTGCCCCCGGAATTCTCGACCGAGGAAAGGGGCGAGTTTCTTGAGTCCATGCTCGTATGCCAATATGTTGGTGGAGGACGAGAAATGGCTTAGTATCTCGTCGGGTGGTTTTTTCTGCGCAAAGCTCTCGCAGAAAGCTATGGCGGCGTTAAGGAGATCCGCTCGTTTATGGTGAGGCATGTCTGTACAAGCTTATAGAATCCCGTTCAAAATATAGGTGGCGTAAACCTGGTAGCCCTTTTTGACTGAAATCTTTAGGATAATACGTCATTACTCATTAACTCCCGCCAGCCCGTCAACAGCTGATTCGGGGTTTAAGCTAGATTCTACAGCTGCTATGGTGGACGGTTAGGACATTTATGCCAAAATCGAAAAAGTCGGTGGCACTATGTCTAATACGATAATGTCAGATTAGTCAGCACTGTCATGTGACCTGAAATCTCTGATTTCCCTGTAATTACTCGCGTTCCACGCGTTCTCACGATCTTACACTTTTACAACATAGTCACAACAACATACAATAAGATCATTAGTAATTACATCATTATTGCCTTAATCGTGCGTACTGATTGTTTGACAGATAATAATAACGCTAAGGATATAGTATAAACTCGACTATTTGCTTTATGTATATAATTTACAAAGTAATATATACATTTTATTTATTTTATATTATAATAATTTAACGAATATTTATTTAAATATTTTTTAAAAAACATTATTATTTTAATTGGAAAATAATAAAAATTTTAATTTAAATTACATATAATTTAAACTAAAATTGGTAAAAATATTAAAAAGTTATATATTTTTATATATATAATTATATAAGTTTTATTATTTAAATTATTTTTATTATTAATTTTTAAAGTTAATTAATTAAATTAAAAGATTTAATTATTAATTTAAATTTTTAATTATTTTATATATATAATATTTTTAAATAACTTTTTAAAAATAATAATTTAAACGTTATAATTAATATTATTTTATAGTTTTAATTAATGCGAAAATAATAAATTAAATTATATGTTTATACGATGTATATTAAATATTATATTATTATTAAAATATTTAAAATTTATTTAAAATAACTTTATTAAAATACTTTTAAAAAGTATTACGTACTTGTTTTTTTAAATAAACGTTTAAAAAAGTAAATGTTATTAACTTTTTTATATTTTATTAATATTATTATAATTTTTCCAACCAATTAAATCTTTAAAATTATTTTATAATTAATAATTTTTTCCTTTATTATTTTATTATATAAAATTTAAAACACATATAAATAAAATAAAAAAGTCATGTAAAATGCGTTTTATTTAATAATATTAATTATTAAAATTTTTATATAATATTATAATAAGTTAATTAATTTTACAAAAAATTTATTAAACATACGTTAAAATATAATTAATTAATTAAAAAAGTTAAATTTATATATAACGTAAAAAACACTTTTAAAATTAAGTAAACACTTTTTGTAAACGCTTACGTAAATAAATAACGCAATTAATTTAATTTTATTATAACATAATAATTAAAAAGCCGATTTAAATATAATTTAAATAATTATTTTCGCATTAATTAAAACTATAAAATAATACCAATTATAACGTTTAAATTATTATTTTTAAAAAGTTATTTAAATATATTATATGTATAAAATAATTAAAAATTTAAATTAATAATCGAATTTTTTAATTTAATTGGCCGAATTATACTTATTTAATATATTTTACTTTATATATTCCCTGCATAATATACTGTGCACCTGTTATATTACCCTTTTTGGAAAGCCCCGATCCATTTTCCTGATTTTGGCACAAATGTCCTAACCGTCCACCATAACTGCAGCCAATTTCATCTCATGTTAAAACATTTCATTCTAAACAATATGACAAAAATACTTCTTTTTTACATCATAGTAAACAATTTTATAACTGATCATATTAGTAAGATATCTAAGTTATAAAACTACACCTCTGGGGTATCTTTTAAAATAGGATACAAATTTAATATGGATAACTAAAGTAACCCGAAACTGAGGTAATATGAAGGATTTACCTCCTTTATTACGCCCAGCAACTTCGATATCACAGAAAATTTATAATTCCTTTCCACTAAGGTTTCCCTCCCTTTTTTTCCCTTGCAGCGTAATTGGCCAAACTTATAATTTAATTACTTTCTGCCATCTCGAACTTGGGTACAAACTACGATTCGATACCCAACCCTAATGGCATTTTCACCGCTACTCACATACCGCTACCCACCCCTTACTTCAAATCGGCATATTAGGGTGCTTGAGATACAACATGGTGACACTGACTCTGAGCCGTTGAAGGGAAGTCTTCGGAATCTTGATCTCGATGATGATATGCATCTACCCTATGCAGCTTTATCATATACCTGGGGCCAGCCCGACTTCTCCGAGATATTATTCTTAGACGGCTCTATCAAATTCATAACTCCAAATTTAGCTAATGCCCTTCGACGCTTCCGTTTTGTTGGTTGCCTAAAATGGATATGGGTAGATGCTGTATGCATTAACCAGCAAGATGACGAAGAGAAAAGCTTTCAGATCCCGCTTATGACAGAGATATACCGTAATGCGTCGTATACCAATGTTTGGCTTGGGAACGAGGATCATAGTATCAAGTCAATGAAATTTATGCGGACGATCGCTACCAGGATCTCTGAGAGCATTCAAGAATCGGGGGTATTAGATGCTTCAGCGCTATCTCATGTGATATCAGTCACCCAGCTCGCGTGGTTTACTCGACGGTGGGTTATCCAAGAGCTTGTCATGAGCCCAAGTGTGTCGTTACACTGTGGTCCTGTAGAGCTATCCTGGCAGCAACTCTCCAGGGTCCTGCTTATGGCTAGGGAAATCGCTCAACCAACACCATCGCTTACATCGGCAATTTCTCTTTACTACTTATGGCTTACATGGTCAATGCCTCAAATTGAGTCCTCAATGAACCCAGCCCGCGTCGATTCGAGGAAGAAAGGGAACTCCACTAATATGACAAACTTACTTCATGCCTTCGAACACTTTGATTGCGCAGACCCTCGAGATCGAATCTACTCGATATCTGGTCTCAGAAGAGATGGGGTAAATTTTGACATAAATTATTCCTATTCGATGGGAGAAGTATTTACTGGCTTTGCGGAAGCCTATGCAAATTCTAAGAGCGAGGTAGAAAATCTGCTATTTTGGATATTGTCCGAGACAAGCACACGGCAGAGAGGAAATAGGGTAGACGGATTGCCCTCTTGGGTCCCAGACTGGCGGATACCATCCACTGGTAGACTTCCATTCGAGCCGCACTTCACGGAGGGCCAGTCGGTCCAAAGATCTTCGGGCAATGCGTCATATTCTCTGACTATGAATTTCTTCAGGGGCCCGTCAGTTCATGGGACGCCTGAGGTTCAGCTTACTGTTTCTTGGGCAGTGTTCCGTGGTGAAAATGAAGATTTTCCTGATTTCATTGCACGATCAGCTACGGCCGTTTGGGAATGGTATCTTGCCAACACTACTAGAGATTCCGATGCGATAAATGATGAACAGCTCTGGTATTGGGTCACGCATCGCGTAATCAACAACCTACTCCCCTGGGCATTGGCAGGCATCCCTTTAACCGATTCGGTTAGCCGTTCGCCACCTGAAAAGAGACATGAGCTCGGAGCCATTATTCGTGAATTTTTGACGAAATCTTGGCCCGGTGTCATATCAAATGGACATATACAGGTCGAAGAGACTTGGAAGAGATCAGAGGCGACGACGCGCTGCTTCTTCGTCGCCCTTCCAAATACAAATGCCAGGCCATGTCTTAAGACTAGCGTTATAGGTATAGGGTTTTCAGATTTACGCGAAGGAGACAGGGTCAGCGCCATAGACGCGAAAATGAAGACACCCGAGAGAGATCTCCCAGGGAATCAGACAACCGCCGGCTTGATTGTTCGGGATTCTTTTCAATATACACATAGCCAAGCGAACCAACAAGGGTATTCGACAGAAGGTTGTAGTAACCGCGATCATACACCTCTGGAGTTCATTGGTTGCTGCTACCTACATTATAATTTCAGACTTATGGGTTGGGATAGTTGTCTCTCTGATCTCATAGTATACTAAGTTAGCAGAGTTGTAAAAACCAGGGGCCTTATCACCTTGGCGAGACCCATGTACCTTCTACTCTATAAGAGACTGGGGCTATAAAATAGGGTTACGGCTTCTCTTAACCCTCTTTGAATATGGAACTAGTTGTTAGGTATCCGTCTAAATAGGTACATGTAGCCAAGCTTGGTTTGGAAATGTTTATATTCCCTTTAGGTTATATTTCTAGCGTGGCATTGTAATTCTTGAACGAATTAGAGACAGGCTTACGATAACACTTCGGTTTAAGCGCCAAGAATACGCATTAGAGCATGTCTTTGAAGAGCTTCCCGAAACAGAAGTAAACGCCGGTCTGGTTGAGAGTATGCTGCGGTAGCATTCGTATTCTACTAGCTATAACAGCTGCACACTTTAGCCGCTGGCGAAAACAAGAAGGCTTTGAGTGATCGTACCATTACCTCAAGAAAACTCGCTGCCCTTTTCCCCGGAAGCCTTGAATGCTACCATAAACCGGGGAAATATATTACGCATGAGGTCTTCCGTAGTCTCGACCTTTTAATAGTTCGATTTAAGAATATTTCAATAGCAATACCCCGACAAGAATAAAAGTATTATAAACTGAAGAAGCGCAACAGTCAGGTTTGAATGCTTACCACGACTAATACTCCGTCGGACGCAAACATTGCATAAGCCAATAGCGATGCTATTCCACGTCTTGTTAAGAGCTCTACTATTTGAGCTTCTTTTCCAGCATGCTTCCGCTACTTTCAATGCGACCGCATCAAGTAGCATAAGGGCTATATACTTATTCAAAGACGTGCTCAAGTCAAACACCACATCTTTAAAGACCTCAGGCTTCAACTCTGTCATCATCTTCGGTGTCGGAATCCTCGAAAATGGCGACATCATGTACTACTCGAACACTCCGGGAAGCAAGGACATACTAATCGCATCTAACGGTGGATATGTAGGGGGTACAGCGCTTTCCGATAAGGTCCGCTCGTTTAAGACAGGCGACACGGGCATTAACCGGATCGAGATCTCGATGAACTCCCAGCACGTCCTCGAACTGACGCGCAGCCCGGGAACCGGTGCCGAGACGACGCTCTACCGCAACTTCGAGGCGCTAAAGACAGCATGGGATCTCGACGCCGTTAACAATGACGACGAGTCTATATACGATGTCACTAGTACTGTCGCCTTTGCGAAAATGCTCGGCACGATAGGATATAAATACACTACCGCGCCGTATACAAACACAGGTTTCTGGAGAAGCGTCACGACGCAGATTAATAACGGTCTCCAAGAACCGAACTTGCTGCTAGATAGGGTGTATCTGCAATGCTGTATGTAACATCGAAGCCACCCCCTCTTCCCCCTTTCCACTTTTTGGGTCGTCTCGGGAGCCGACGTTTCATTGTCGAACTGACTAAGGGGCTATTGCTCCCGTGACATATCTAACCTCATTTAACGTTTTACTAAAGCCTAAAGGAGGAACTTGCTGACTCTTGTTGCAGATGACGGTGGTGCAGGCAACGATCCGGGGAGCTGGCAAAACACTCTAGACATGAAGGTCGTACCGCTCGTATGGGTTACAAACGACTCTAAGCCGTCGCAGGGGACAACGGCTACACAAGCACGGTCTAGGTTCACAGGTTGGAATTCAGGAAGCGCCGTGGCTGGGGGAGGGTATTGGAACGACTACGACATTGAAAAAATGGGGTTGTCGTACACAGCATACGGAGATGTTCTTACAAGTGTTTTCCCATAAAAGTCTACGGTAGGTTGGCGGTATAAGAAGGGAGGATATGATAGGTATGACTGACTGGCTATAAGAAAAAAAAGAAAAGAAAAAAGAAAATAAATGTATGTGTCATATAGGCAGATAGGAGAGCATAGCATGCAATAGTCCGGAATTACGTTACAGATGACGTAACTATTATCAGAACATACATGATGCAGACCGAGAGGCGTTAAGGTCTAAGCTTTGATATCTATAAGCGTGACACGGCTTGTACACCGAGAAATTCTACCCCTCTACTATTCCCGACCTTAATCTCATACGCCAATTAATATCAAGAGAGTAAAGTAGAACAGCAACACAGCAACACAGAAACATATTTTTCGAGAGAAAGCACGAATCATAAATGTTATGTGACACCTCCATAGCAAAGCCCCGACATTCGTAATTCGGCATCGTGCATATGGCCCTAGGAGTCTAGGAGTCTAGGACGTCCGGTTTAAGAGGGCGTACAACTACTCCTACTCCTACTCCTACTCCTACTCGTACGAGCACGAGCACGAGCACGTGAACCTGGAGCCCATTCCCGTCCAATATAAAAACTCCATGTAAACCTCCCCGCACTCTACGGAATTCTTAATAACTTGGATCTTGCCCTGGAATTCCATTGTCCGGACTGTCTTATAATTCGATAGCATCTAACGCCTCGTCCCACTATGGTGAGCCAATCAAGCATCTTCCTCCGTCTCCCCCTGGAGATCCGTGAGGAGATCTACCTCCAACTGCTGCTCTTCCGCGACGACGTCGGTGTCCAATCTCTGACTCCCAAGCTCGACAGGTGGATCAAGGCGATGTGGGATGATCCCGGGTCGACCTTCTGTGGCGATGAGAATGACATTGTGCCTCGGGGAAGGACCAGTATCCTTTGCGTATCTAAGCAGGTCAGCAAGGAGGCCCTCGACGTGTTGTACCAGCGCAATACCTTCGTCATACATACGCACGCTGATTCTCACGATAAATTTCTCAAGTTCGGAACCGTCAACATACGGCGCATCCGCTCCTTGAGACTTGTCACGCACCCTCAAGAGCTTGGGTACATGGAGCCTGTCAACTTCGACCCCAGGATATGGGATCCGCTTCTTACAGATTTGACACATCTTTCACTCGTTCTGCAACAGCCGTGGAAGGCTCGGGGACATTGTGACCCATCCGGTAGTAAGGAGAAGTTCCAGAATTGTATTGATGAGGAACTACAGAAATGGCTTGCTTGGCTAGAACCGATCTTACAATACTTCGCCAGCAATATTTCCGAGAGAACCACGGTTACCATCGACGATAATGAGTTGGCGGAGACGAGCGAGGTCGTGCATAAATGCTTCCGTGCTGGTTACCAGAGGGTGCAGACTGAGATCGGAGACAGGATCTTCGAGAGGGCGTTACCATCTGAGGAGTCTGATTACTGGTACGACGACTATGATATGGATTCTACATGTGGCGGCACCATCAACGATTGGTCAGACTAGGATCGAAACAATTCTTTATTATCCGGGGCGTCATTTTCGGGGTACAAAATGCACCAAAATCAGCAGCATGTTCCTTTTTCAGCAATCTCATCTCTCAAGGGTATTTCGGTTGGTTCCTTTTTGTCTAGGCTAGTTCAGTGACGTGTGGATTTGGATTCGGGGTTAGGAATTGGGTATGGGGGAAGGGGAAGGGGGAAGGGGGGTCATGGTTAGTAGTCACCACTCAATACTACTGGTTGTTGGCAGGCTTGAAAAATGGAAGAGGCTAGGATTCTAAAATGGGTGCGAAAAGGAGAACGCTTAACGGAGTAATATAATTAATGTGCAATCCTATATCTATAAGCGTGTATATCTTCCACATGGTGATATAGTTTTGAGATTATAAATTACGCCTAACGTAAAACAGTAGCTTCACATAAACGTTTTCTATAATAGCTTGTAGGAAAAGTTAGTTCTGATTGGGAATTAGCCTTAAAGGGCTAAAAGCGCCGAATTAAGGCGCGAGAGTCCCCAAGTATGAAAGCAAGAATGTAAGCAAGCTTAAGGTTACAGTGACAAAATTATGAGTTGTTAGCTAGGAATACGACAACACAGAAAAGGAGGAATAAGGTGTACTGCTGCTTGCTAATCACTAGCACTATCTCCCGATAGACGCCGCCTGAAGCCCATATCTCCGATCTCATCTTGTCCGTTTCGGTTGGCATTCCGGGCCTAACCTAGGTCCGGCAGGTCATCGATTAAATCCGGACCGAACTAGGAAACACAAACTCCGGAGGAGCGACGGCGTCTAGCACGTATCTTTGACTTACGATATTTCATGGTCGGCCTTTTCATTATCTGTAGATAAATATATCCCGCGTAGCACGCATCTTTCTGTCGAAATGGCCATAGATAGCAAGCATAAATCTTCACTTTCTAATACTGGGAAAAGACCAAGGCAGCCATGACTGTAGAGTATGCTAAGGATCAGCCCGAGGGCTTCACCAACCGCATCGAGAAGGTTGCTATCGTGGGGGTACGTTGGATTTCAACTTTACTCTACGCAGGATAAAGATATCACTAACTAGTAGCAGGCCGGCGGTCAGATAGGGAGTGTCCTGACCGAGCACTTGCTCAAGAATGGCAAGCATACCTTAACAGCCATAACGCGGCCTAACAGCACTAAAAAGCTTCCCGAAGGCCTCCGAGTTGCTCTTGTCGACTATAGCGGTGATGACGACACCGAACTTGTAGAGGCGTTTCGCGGGCAGCAGGTCTTGATCATTTCTATGTCAGTCCACGCTCCAAGGGACAGTGTTAGCAAGCTTGGTACGTAGCATTGATAACCCCTTTTAATTTGTCGGAAACAAGCACCCTTCGTAGTTCGAATTTCCCAATATCCCTCCGAATATACCCAGAGATGCCATTGAAAAAGATCAACCCAGATTTGAGAATCATGTCCTTAACCATATTTTCCCAACGAGTCTCCGGCTCCCTCTAGGAAATTCTTACTCGAAGTGATAGCCGAAGTACTAACTTCGCTGCAATAGTACGCGCAGCCGCCAAGGCCGGTGTACCGTACATCCTACCCAACTGGTTCGGGCACGACGCCGCCAACGACACGCTATGCGAAGATAGCATGCTAAAAGCCTCGCGGGACAGCATCACCTCCGAGATCAAAAGCCTTGGCGTCAGCTCGTACATCCTTCTCGTGTGCAACTTCTGGTACGAGTTCAGTCTAGGCGGCGGACCCGACCGCTTCGGATTTGATTTTAACAAGCGCACGTTCGTCGAGTTTGGGGATGGCACGGTGCCCATCCGCACGAGCACATGGCCGCAGTGCGGGCGGGCCGTCGCCGCGCTTCTCAGCCTCAAGGAGTTTCCGGACGACGAGGCGGATACGTCGCCTACGCTATCGCAGTTCCGCAACGGCTGTGTGTATGTCTCGAGCTTCCGCCTCGCCCAGCGCGATATGTTCGAGAGCGTGAAGCGCGTCACGCGCACCGCGGACACCGACTGGAGTGTTACCCGTGAATCTGCTGAGGAGCGCTGGGGGCAGGGCAGGGCTGCTCTGCAGGAGGGGAACTGGAAGCTCTTTACTAAGATGCTGTATAGCCGCATGTTCTTCCCAAATGGTGACGGTGACTACAAAGGGGAGCTCCATAATGACTTGCTTGGCTTGCCTGTCGAGGATTTAGATGAGGCTACGGCCGTGGGCGTCCGGATGGGAGAAAGTGGCGAGGTGCCGTTTTCGCATTAAAGGGGGTGGTAGTATGATGGTATGTACCTATCTTACGAACCTTTCGAGGTTAACAAGGGAGTAGCTTTTATAGAACATACTTTACCATACGACCTTTTCTTTTGTTCCAAACCTCGATATTATTCGACTTACGCGTGGATTTCATTCGTAGTAAAATTGATCTTCCTGTCGTTGCCCCTTATTTAGCATCTTCCTTGTCCCATACGTAGCTCTATATACGGACAGCACTTTAATCGAATCAGAGTATGGTTTCTCTTACCTGTCTTCGATCTCCTGTGATATATATGAGCTTGGAATCAGTTATAGAGATGCAACTCCCTCACAAGAACCTACACTACCGTCTTGAAGTCGACTTGCTAGACGTCAATTTCAAACAGAAACATATCTTACGCCTACAAGCTCTTAAATCTAGATTATCCCAGACCAATCGGATTAGATATCTAGAGTATATTGGTGATTTGGTGGCGGAAGGCAATGTGAACTTTATTACGACTCGGAAAACAAGTCGGATCTCTGGATACGGCGGGATCTTATATGGCCAGCTTATATGGCAATGGCATGCCGGTATATGAGTGAAATTCGTTACATACCATTACTTCCCTTAGTGTTTAGGTATCACATTTATAAAAAATGACAGAAAGAGATGTAAAGACTATAAACAAATGGTAGAAATGCGCGATATGCCCGCTCTTACTATCCACCTATAGAACGTATTCTAGGTCAAGTGTGCACGGCAGGTAAGAAACGGCCGTCCTAGTCCGCTGCTTAGGTACTTATCTATATTCGTAGAGTTTTCGCAAAATGCTCTTTAGAACGAGTGGGAGAAAGATACATCGTGGGAGGGGAATACATACAAGATAGCACCTGTCAATCACGGACATGTGGCAGTCTAGGCCAATGGTTGGGCCACCGCGTAAGCAATGGTACATCAACGTGTTCGAGCATATGAAGTCGTTAATGAATTTTATATGGAGGCCGGTATAAAAATGCTGTTTGCGCGATATCGGGGTGCGGGTGTTGAAATCATAATGTAAGGATTTAAATGCGGGTAGTATTGATATTTTATTTCTTATCGACTTTTACTAAGTTAAATCTTTAAAATTATGGCCTGTGGCTTCCGGGTACACGTAAATAGACATGTCGCCGCAGATGCCGTGCATTGGAAATGCGGCGCAGATTGGTTGCTCTAAGGCTTGATTTCGGTCGGAGCTCTGGTGGTTAGGTAAGTCTGGAGTCTGGACAGGCACCAATTCGCAAACGTCACTCTTGGATGGGTGGATACCCGACATAAGGTCGCCCCAAAAAAAGATCAGTACCGAAAATACTTAGTGTGCTGCGGAACATCACAGCTAAGATCCTTGTACTCTCGGGTCCAAGCTTTCGTACCTTTTCTTAGCGTAACTGGTCCTTTTCGGAGTACATCTTCAAGCTTCTTCTAGGGCTCCGGGGTCCGCTGAAGTCACCTAAACAGACCTAAACGGTGGTAAAGCTCCAGGTACTTCAGCGGCTTCTTCGTTAGTTAATCAGGCGACAACTCTTTCCCCAGGGCTTTTCACTTGCATCACTCTGACCAGTCTTGCTTTGGAACTTGTGACTGAACAAACGACATCAATTTCCTCCCTTCTACTCTTTCCCTCTCTCATAATCAGCCAGTTTTAACCAACTCCCTCAATCCAACCACGTCTTCCGTTGCGTGTATCTATATCACGCACACCTCTTTTTCTCATTTGTTTTATTTAGACACCCGGTTTGTGTTTTTCCCGCTGCCAGCCGACCCCAAATCAGTTCAGATTCTTCCTGCAGGGTCTCCCAACGTGAGCGCGCTTCGCGATATCACCTGTCGGCTGTATCCAGTATCGTCATCGTCATCAACCCTCCATTCCACGGCCTAAAGTCGACATATTACCCAACGTCGACCCATCCGTCCATCAACGATCCCAGCCGACTTTCCCCTTTTCTAACTCCATTTTCCTTCAGCCGATATGCCAGGGAAAACGCCTCATTCAAACGGGAAAGAGCCGGTCGAGAACGGTATTAGGAACAACCAGGACGTTGACATGACCGACGAGAAGTCCTCGCTTAAGGGAAAGGGCAAGAAGGGTGTCAAGGAAGGCGAAGATATGACAGTTGTCGTCCCCCCTTCAAAGACCACAAAACAATCTTCTCAACCACCTCCACCTGACGCTGACGGAGACATCGAAATGGACGTGGATAAGCCGGAGGATCTCGAGGTCAAGGTCGACCCCGTCACCCAGGCCATCACAGGTATAGCTAATACCATCACCTATATAAACTCGTGCATGTAATAACCTAACATATTATCTTCTGTTATAGATATTAAGAGTAATTTCGCCCTCCTCGACCGCGCAGTAGCCCTGTTCGATGCCAGATTCTCGTTAAGGGCTTTAAGATCCATCTCTTCCCTCCGGAAGCGTCTCACGCCGGATATCCTAGCCCAGGTTATCGCAGAGACTTTCTCGGTCTCGAGCACATCTACCAACGTGGCTAAGCAACTTCTAGTTGCTATCGGAAAAGAAGATGTACCTCTAGGTCGCCAGCCTAGTTCTGAGATGGAGATTGATAGCGAACCAAAGGCTCCCGCTAAGAACGGAAACAAGAAGGAGAATAAGGACGTCATTCCTGAGATCGATATCTTCCTGAGCATCCTGGTTCAAGTCTATCTATTTGACGCGAAGCAGTTCCAGCAGGGAGCGGAATTTTCCAAATACCTTTCGGAGCGCATCCACTCTTTGAATCGCCGGACTCTAGATTCGCTTTCCGCGAAGGCCTACTTCTACTACTCTCTATTCTGCGAGCAGCTTGCTCCTTTACCCCCATCTCCTCAGTCTCCGATCGTTGCGATCCGCCCGACCCTCTTGACTGCTCTCCGGACTGCCGTCTTGCGAAAGGATATCGACATTCAGGCCTCGGTTATCGTTC